TTCTATTTTGTGATCTCAAATATAAAACAAAATTGTGGATGATGAAAGAAGTAGGAGTAGGTAAAAAGGAGCTGTACTCCATGGAACTTGTATGATGGAATTTAATACTGGTTACACTTTAATCGAAGTTCGTCTTTCTGAGTTCAAAGCAAATTATGCATTCACTCTTTTAAAATGTATTAGGTCGTACAAATAATCAGATCTATTTAAAATTTGAAGACTTGTGGTGATGAATTCTATTTCAAATAAAAGAAGTAGACAAAACATCGTGTTAATAAATGCTTCGCTTGAAGTACAGCTATTACGAAACGGAATATGTAGCCGTAATAAACAATACTACTTATTTGAATCAGCAACCATCCTTGAACTAATTTTATTTACTGCCAATTGATTACGATTTATTTTTCAACAATTTACAAATAGTTACTGTCTCGTAGTTTACATTTACATGCTTCATTGCTAATAGTTTTTTCAATATAGGACTACAATCCAAAAGATAAGAGCATGCTTACGTTTATTTTTTTTTTCTAGTTCGACAATAATAAGAAAGAAAAGTAATTGTCTGAACAGTTAATTTTACTTATGGTCTGTTTTGGAGAAAATTCCACGCTCTCTCTCAGAAAGAGAGGCCCTAACACATACACTGTTTAAGTGTCAGTGTATGCGATTTTATGCTGAAATTTCACTTTATTTTTAATTCGTACTTATACATGCTTTAGAGAGTTCTACGTATTGCTTACGTTATTATTTTACATCTATGCTGTTTTGATGTAGTCTAACTGAAACAAGATCACTTTTTGCCCAATGCGTAACATTACTTAGTTTTGTTATTTTCTTTTAACTGTTTTCTTTAATCTTTTTCTAATGAAATTATCATCTGTCCCTATCATATTTGTTAAAATACTATTTTGCATATTCTAAATGATTACTTAATGTTAAACTTTGTAGCTTCGTTTTTAAATTTCAAATCACCGTAATTAAAATCAAGATGAAGATTCTATATTGCAACCTTTGTAGATGGTTTTATATGTTAAGGCCGCTTTGAGTAATCCCATTTTTTAAAATAATAGCTAAGAGGCCTGGTTTATATATAGTAATCCTAATTTTAGCTAGACCTATAATAATCCAAATTCATACGTTTGCAGTCGAAATGGTTTGGAATCTCCCAAGCTTTTTTAAAGGAAATTTTAAAAGTGACTTTTGTGACGAAATTCGCTCAGTGAGTACTTTTGTCGAGAACCCATTATCAAGCCGTTTACGAATCTCGTGCATTTCCAGCTGCAATCTTTATGTTCCGGTCTGTTCATTCCTCAAACAAAAGGTACGCTTTCAGCTCTAATTCCTGTGAATTTAGCATCAGTTAAACGTTAAGCAAACAATGTCACCGTAGAGCGGCACGGATAATTGTTCAGCGCCCTAGCAAAATGAATAAAGGCCGTTTCATTGTCAAAATGTAATAAAATAGAAATGAAAATAAATAACAGAGGATTATTATTCAGTTCTTAAAATATACTTAAGGATGTATACCAAGTTGTTTATAACTTTATAATTTGTTTTCAGTTGCGGTATTTGTTTCAGTACTTGAAATACTTGTGTGATGCCTACTTTTATTTATGTAACTGTTACTTTTTCTGAAAGAGTATTTCCATTTCTATCCAAATACGCATTTAATAAAAGTGTACATACATTTGTACTTAAAAACACTTTCTATGTGGTATTACTAAAGCACTTATGGAATTAGCATACGTTAACACAGAATATAATTGACTTTCAGTCTCTTTACGCACGCCTGAAACTCGAGCCGGGTTTAATTGGAATTTACTGAAAATAACTTTTATCGCTTTATTTTTAGATCGACAGCTTTGCAATAAACGAGAGAAAATAGAAGCTATTCCAGATTCCTATTGACTGTTTCGATTTCGAATAACCAATTTCAAAGCGGGAAAACGACTTATTGCATCGCAACTGTTCCATAATATGCAGGTGCAACTGTAAATGTATACGATCAAACGATGTGATTCGTTTAAGCCTTGGATTGAAAACATCTATTCATAGCTCTGGAATCAGCCTATGTTCGTCAGTAAAATACGTTGCTGATTTTCCGTTTAAACACATGGATTGACAAACAGTGTACCTTGTTTTGATTTCTTAAAACGTTTTTATAGTTGGGTAAGGACAGTATCAGATATCATTTACTACGCTTTTGATATGGTGGCACATCAATTACTGATAGTATCAACTGGTTTAGCGTGCTTACGCGCAAGACTATGGAAAACAATTTGATGTCCTCAATATGAATGTTACGGCCAAGGAAATGACATTGTTGATCCTAAAAGAAGGGTAGCTGTCGTAGCTTGCGTTTTCCTTACAGTAAACTTTTTAATAATGAAATAATCTATGTATAAATCTGAAATCAAATAAAATTAGAAATAAACGTTGGGATTATTCAGAGGAGGTGCAATCTTAAGATTAAGTTAGGTTAGGTGTTGACCTGTTGACCGTATATTGCAATTTACTGATTATAGTATTTCAAATGTTTGATAAGTACCTTACAAAGGTATAAAGCTAAGTACTTGTCAAAAGGAGGAAATCTCGGTTTGGTCCATGATTTATTGAAACTACTGAGAAATAATAAGCTTGAAATCGCGATCTACATTTAGTAGTTTCGGTAAATTACTGGCCAAGAACTTAATGCTCTCCATGATAGAATTTCTGTGGTGGTGAAATATTTCAGAAGTTGTTCTTTAGACGTTTTGTGAAAACAGAAGAGGTTCGAGGTATTGTAAAGTCACCAAATAAATATTGAAACATTAGTTTAGATTTTATTCCAGTTCTTGATTTTAACATCTGATTAGTTTTTATGTACAGTTCTTATTAAATAACGCGCGCTTTTTACCCTTGTAGAGTAGAAAGTTAATAATTATGGAATTAAAGTTTTTACTAAATTAACTGTAGGGTATAAATGCCGTTGTACACAAAAGTTTAAAAACGCACCCCTTAACATAAAACGAATTATAATTTAAAAATAAAATTTATTAGTTGCTGAATGTGTATGTTAAGCATTAATGATTTCAGACGCCCCAGATTTTGGGTTTGGTGCGCACGTAGGTCACAAGAAAAGCGTTCTTTAAATTTTTATTGCAGAAATTCTGTTTCGGTTAATATAACATTTTGAAAGAGCTCTGAAGATGTCACGTCAGGTAACAAACAAATTGGTGGTATGCATATCCGGAATCCTAAATCTCATTTGTAGTTTAATAGAATAAAAACTGTATAACATTTTCTATTAATTGAAAATGTGGTTTAATCTAACATATGTGTGTGATATGCAAAGAATTTAACACGGGAACTTCTATCTGAAGTTCTGAGATTCAAACTTTTAATAACACTTCGCTATTATGGCTCATCCATGTGATGATAGTCAGTAATCCGTGGCTCTTAGGTTTACCTAGTTAATCTTTAGATGTGGCAAGATTCTAAGTCAATATCCAAACCAGCTGAATGTTGCAATCTTTGCCTAGCGATGTGTTTGTCTAATACTACACCTATGTTAGATTGCGTCACTAAGGTAATGGTTGGTTAGGTTAGGTTAAGCTAGTTTTTTTTAATTTTCAACCCTTGTAACATGTTCAAGATTACAAACTACACAACAGGCGCGTTAGACAATGTTTAATTGCTCAAGATGGTATGTAAAATGCTTCGGATGGTTCTATCTCCAGACATCCATATGCTTCCTGTAATATCCGGTGCTCGTTATAGGCGAGTTGCATAACTTAATATATGGGCTAATTGTTAGCACCTCATCGTCAGTACGTATAATACCCAACAGTGACGTCCGCCTTCTGGTACAAGCCTTTTTCGAGATAGGCGTGTACCTAAAGGTAACACGTCGGTGTTCATTATAGAAAATGTGGTTTTGTTCCCAACTTGATTGTAATTCTTTATCTTCAAAAGCAGAATTGAAAATTGTCATTTTTAGTTTCATGTCGGCTGTTACAATTTATTATTTGATGTTAATATACGTTCAAAACGGCTGAAATGTCCAGGTAATTATTTAGAAATTAAATGTACACCGAGAAAAAAATCTAAGAAAAATTACCATGCTGTCTCATAATCTGGTTATTTTTGACTGACAATGAAGAAATTACCACGGCCATTATAATCATCATCATCATCATAATCACTATCATCATAAACTCGTCCTAGATACCAAAAATCAGCCACTTCTTTTCATCATGCTAGCACAGTAAAAATTCCTATGCTTTCTAGTAAAGTGTATAAGGTTCTCTTACAAAAACAGTAGTTTCTTGTCATGTGTCAAAAACAGTAAGCAATTTCCCAGTTATTATAGAATTGTATTAATTTTTATACATATTTCTTTTAAGATGATGAACTTCCAAAAAATGACATTTTCTCTTTAATTGGATCAAATTCACAGGTTCATACATGTGTACGTGTTTTAGCGTGAAAACACGCACAGATTTTTTTGAATGATCTATTGCTGCTTACATTTTTTAGCATAAAACGGACCTTTACGCTAATTCAAACAAGCAGGACGGTCACTAATTCCGAGTATGTCAAGTCCTTTCACTTACGAAGATTGCTGAAATAATAATTCCAACATTCCAACAGCAACAAATAGTTAACCATACGTGTGAACAGAAGTTTTGTGTTAATTTAACATGTATTTTGCAATTGCGTAGATAAATGTTATGTAACTCTCAGTCACCTTAATTTTTCGTGCCTATTCTCATAAAACCACATCTAAATGTGTTGACATTTCCTATGCTTCGTGGAAAAAGTTGTTTCCGTTAAATGACCACCAACTCTTTAAGTTGACTACAGCAGTGAAAAGGAATTATGTAGGTATTTTACTGAATACTTTACCTTACCTTATGAGGCATTGTGATCATAATACTTGCTTACAGTTATTAGAGAATTAAGAAACTGAGTTAGTGGCTCGCTTTTGGTACATTCTAACGTTCATGTTTTGTTTCCAGGATGCTCGCTCCATGCAGAAATAAACTACGTAGGAGTAATCAGGTGAGTTTTATATCAAATAATTTTTCGCGTTTATTTTCTTGTTTTCTTTGTTAACACTTTGATTAATGGCGTGAATAATAGCATATTTTAAAAGAGGGGAGCCTCTCCATTTGCCTGTGTGTAATTTTTTCTTTCTTAAAGTATTCACACCCTGCGTGATTCTTAGTTCGAATGAGAATATTCTCTAATTGGTCCTGTTTAAATTTTAGTACCTAGTTTCTTCTTACTAAATTATTTAAGTCGACTTGAGTCGCTCCTCAGCAAACTTTACTTGTGAAACAATCAACAACTCCATTTTAATATTCTCTAGCTGTTTTTTGTTCTATAGATACTTCATATACTTTGTTATGAGATAAAAAAAATAATTTCAACGGACTGATATCGGTTGGGGAGCACTGAAAAGGTAAAAGTTATTTTATTCCAAGAAACTATTACTCGTGCCGTGTGTCCTTTTTCAGTTTCCTGCATATATCTTGGAACGTAAACTTTTCGATCTTGCATTAATAATGGTATGAGGTATTTGTAAAACTGAAAAAAAAAATGATAGATGCACAAAATTGTGGTTTTATTGTACTTTTTATGTAGAGATTACTTAACAACATTGTTTTAACCTTCTTGAGTGAGCTTTAGAAGAAACTAATGTAAAAATAAGATGGATATAGTAACTGCTTGAGATTCTGGATTTCCAGTAATTTTCCAATAAGGACTGCGTAGTCCATCATCTACTACTAGGTGATGCGTTCACGTCTGGTCTATCTTGAAACCAGTCAGACTATAGTTAGTTAATAAAGACCCAAGGAATTTACTTCCATGTTTACCCATTACATTAAGTAATTATTGCCAACGTATAGTTAAATGTTATTGAGTTGTTTATTTTTACTCAAAACGAGAAATTATCAAAATTACGGCAACAGTGATAGTGTTTGTTCGGTGGTTGCAGTATTCGCTCACTGCCCCATATATTCTTTCGGATTTTGTTGATGAATAAATCACTTTTTTGGTTTGTTTGGTTTATTTTGTACAATATAATACACTATGTACACTTACTATTTTATTGTATATTGAATCTTGGTTGATAATTGAATTGTTGTTGAATGTGAATTGATTTGAATGTTAAAGCTTGAATGTTGATTTTCGAATACTAAAAATTTGAATTGTCGTTGTTTAAATAACGTTGGCACAAAATAGGCAACGCCTATCGTGCACATTACCCCTTCGCCGTCGCTACGTACCCCTAAGGTATTATCTGCACATTCCGAAGTGATGACGTAGCGACGGACTTGGGTTTTCCATTAATGAATGGTTTTGTGAGACCTACCTGGACCGATCTCTTCGTTAAAATTGCTGCATTACCTATTCTAAGAAACTAATATTTATCTATACCTACAGAAATAAATACATTAAAATTGACTACAACTAGAATAAAATACAAAGTGTTGACTAACTAAAAATACGAACAAAATTGAATATTTACAAAAATTATAAACACTAACAAAATTGAATATATATGTACAAATATTATTTGAAGCCGCAACAGTGTTACAATAAAAAAAAAACTTTTTGTTGAGAGCATTCATTTAAAAAGTAATATAGTTACAGTATTACAGTCAAAAAATAGCTTAGTAATAAATCGTAAAATAGGAAAAGCTAACTGATGATGAGTTCAGTTAAAAATGAAATTCTTGGTATGTCCTTTTTTATTATTCACTTTTGCGCAATGGTTTTCTGTCCAAACATTTAGAATGTTCCAGTCTGCCACTTTTTAAAATGGATTGTAGTTAAAATTGGTAAAATTTATTAATCATGCATTTTCGTGCCCTTAATATAATCAACGCCTCTTTTAATCAAAACACCTAAAAGTTTTTGTATATTTACTCTTTAGTATGCATTATTTTAGGTTACGTTACAGTCAGTTCATTAAATTCAATTAAAAATCGTCTACCATTGACCCTTAACTGACAACAAGAGAATATTATGGCCTTCTGAAGCTTTCTTCGGGGACATCTTAACGTACTACCAAAAAGAAAAAATTAAACCTGTGCTATGGTCGTGTCATGTGTAGCGTCCGTTTTATACTATTTTACGTAAAGGTGTAGCAAATGCCAAGAAAAAAAAAAACAAAAATTACTCAAGCAAAGTCAAAATAAAACTCCCATATCTTCGATTAGTTCATCTAACGTTAGGCAATTGGAAGAATGATGATACCATCGATCTTATGCCTACGAATAGCTGCTATATATGACCGTAACATTTGGCTGTTCAACTGATTAACTGTTCAGTTATACATATATCATTTCGTATTACATATAGTTACATATACAAACAGAATTGCACGAGCAGAACAACTTCGTAAAATCGATTGATCTAGATTAAATGTCATTGACTTGGAAGAAAATCGTATTAACTAGAGATTTATCACATGTTGTGATCAGGTTTAAAAAGAAATTGAAAATTATTGTTTTGAGTAGATTTAATTTATGTCATCTTAAAAATAAAAGGTAATTTATTAACCAAATCAAAATAGATAGGCATATTGCAGTATTTAAATACTTCGTAGTTGAATTATACCCGACTAAAAGTTTTCAGCAAGATGGAGTCCGGCACACGCATCTGAATCACCATATTAATCCGACAGTGATATAGTGTATTCCAAGGAAGTAAAGTTTTCATTATTGCGGTCCTTACAATAAAACCAAAATCTAACCTGATTAGATGGTCGTATCAGAATCGGATCAATTTTCCAACATTCATTCCGACCTTGATTCTAAACTGAGCTTTAAGAAAACGAGAAAGGATTCACTGAATCTTATTTTGAAATTTTATTATTAAAAAAACTGCTTTTAATTAATTGTTTGGTATTATTACCTATCTGTAATTGGCTGTTTGTTATGTAGCGACCTAGTCGGTTTTGTTACTTATTTTTAAAAAAAATTACAGCTTGTATTGTACTACGCAATAAGTTTATACACAGACGCAGTGCCTGAATTCAGTTACAGATATTTTATCAAAATTGAAATACTGTCTACCATATATTCAATAATAAACGGTTTTAAGCATTAAGCATATTAAACTTTAAAGAGTTAAAGTGAAATTCTAAAATAAATCAAATTATTTAAAATACTGTCACATATTCAAACTCTTCTCACGCTTTTACAACTTTTGTTTAAGTATTTGCCGTCTAGTTAACACTTTTATTATTATTTATTTATCAATACACCACTCATAAACACTTTCTCGCTTCTTTTCTTCTTCGTCTCTTTCTATCACATCGAACTCTCTGACTCGTATTGACTACACTCGATCTCGCAACAACTATTTATAGAGATTAGCCGTTCTAGAATGTTCCAGTATATATCTTCTAGAAACCTGGTCTTCTTTCACAATGTGTATATTGGGTTGCCTTTATACATACATGTGACACTGCCCTCTTAAAACGGATTCACTGATGTTACCTCTGTAGGGAGCAAGCCGGTCAAGGTAGACGATCCTCATTTTTCCCCCAGGTCCCTTCTGAATTTGATAAACAACGTTGATGTGTCGAGTAACGGACCATCCCAAGCCTATCTCTTCCGCCTTGATAGATTATGTAGCCATACTTTGCCGCCTTCATTAAACCCAACAGAATTGGCTCGTATCTTGTGTCGATCGTATCTGGTCTTCATGCGGTCACCTTCCAATCGTAGATTCGTATGCACAGCGTTGTGGATGGCTTCTAGTCGTTTTCGTAGTTCGTCCACGTACTCGTCGGTAAGTACAAGAGGGTCTTCAGAACTACTAAACATCATGTCCACTGGCAACCTGAGCTCTTTCCCGAAAAAATGCTGGCTGGTGTTCTTCCAGCTGTCTCATGGATGACGGATCTATAAGCCAGGAGGAATAGTGATATGTGTCAGTTTGGTGTTCCTTCACGACATTTCTTAAATTGGTCTCTAGAGTAGCGTTAAATCGTTCAATCTTTCCATCTGACTGTGGATGTAAGGGCTTAGATCTCGTTTTAGTAATGCCCATTAGTTCAGCAATGTTCTTGAACAAAGCCGATTCGAAATTCCTACCTGGCATATCGGCTAATCCAACCATTGACAAGCTTCTCAGCAACGGTCTGTGCTTCCTGGTTCGGTATCGCATACGTTTCGGGCTATTTGCTAAAGTAATCCAAGACTACCAAGGTGTATCGGTTACCGAAATCCGTCACTGGGAATGGTCCTGCAACGTAGACTGCGATTCTGTCAAATGGCTCTCCCACGTTGTACTGCTGCATTCGTCCACGACTCCTTTCCTTCGGTCCCTCACTGGCGGTGCATGTCGGGCATTTCCTGTACCAGTCCTTTACGTCGTGGCCAATAAAATCGGTCGCATACCTTCCCTAGAGTCTTCGTAATTCCGAAATATTCTTCGCCATGCACCGCTTCTAAAACTTTTTTTTTTATTCTAAAGTAGTACCACTTGGAGCTTGTTTCTGGTTCCATTCGGACTTCCCCACATTCTTTTCAGAACCCGTGGTCTATTTTAAGGGAAGTCCACTGTGCCCAATAACTGTTCGTTGTTTAACTTAGGTGGCTTACATTTGCCCACGATGGTCTGGAGTTTCCGATTTCTTTCCATCTTCCTTGTCCTTCGTCTAATCTTCGATTAATGCCTTATCTCCCCAGGATCCTTCAGGCTGAATGTTGGCTAGATTACAACATATAGCTGCCAGTTCTTCCTTTTTCTCCGCAGATGGATAATGTTTGCAGTTTTCCAAGCAAGGTCTCCGGGATAGTGCATCTGCGTTACCGTGTTGTTTGCCTGGGCTATGCTCGATTTCAGACTAGTATTCTTGAAGCCGTTGTAACCATAGTGCAATGTGTCCTTCTAGGTCCTTGAATAGCAGTAGCCACTTTAGGGGGAGGCGTGATCCGTTCATAAGAGAATGTTCCGTCCATGAAGGTACTTGCGGAAATGTTCGAGGGTTTTAATCACAGCCAGTAGCTCTTGACGGGTGAGACAATTATTACGTTCTG